CCCCCCCCCAGCCCCCAGCACCTCAGACATGACTGTCTTTTCTCTCTTTGCCCAGGTAACATCTATTCACTCTTCAGATCTTGGCTCCTCAGGGAAGCCTCCTGTGATTTTCCTATCCAGGCCCGCTGCCCCTCTTAGAGGCTCTCACAGCCCATGCCTATCTCCTCCCTACACACGTCACCGTTGTGACATTAGACTTGTCTGTGGGACTCTTTGGTTAACGTCTGTCTCCTAGACCATATGCTCCACGAGCTCAGGGTGTTGCCTTCCACCACCTCCCCAGCACCTGGCGGGAGAGCAACACACATTTGTTGAATAATGAACGAGTGACTAAGTGAAGCAGCCCTGGGTTTGGAAGTGTTGGTGGTGTTTTGAAGTACTGGGTGGCACTGGGGTGGCAGCATTGCTGATCTTCACACCCTTCCCAGCAGCAAACGTGCATTGCGGTTGGAGAGAGGCACACAACCTCTTTGCCCCCGTGTCAGCCTCTGACACGACAACTACACGTGGCTCTGGCAGCGCCCTCCGGAGGCTTTGGAAAGCAGCAGTCATCACTATACCCCATTGCACATGGTCTGTTTTACCAGGTTCTACTGCAGAGGATTGGATCTAATGAATCTGTGAGGGACCCTGAGGAGCCCACACAGGGACCTCTATAAAAGCCTCCCTCCCTCCTTCCTCCTGTTGTCCCAGGAACCCTCCAGGCCCCAAAGCCTAAACACTCTCCTGTCCAGCTCCGGCTATTTGCCTGGCCTCTTGAACTTGATGCTTCCGGCCGTCTCTGGATCTCCAGCCCACCCTCCTCTAGGGTGTGGCCCTCTCCTGGGCCAGCCCTGCTGTCCACCTGCCCTGGAGGGGCCTTGGTGCCCTCTGTAAAGAAGAACAGGGGATTCTTCTCTGTCAGGACTCCCTCTCATTTCTGCCTTTGTAGACAAGTTCTATGGGGGTCAAATCAATGTTGAATTGAGCCTCTTGAGACAAAAGCCCCTCAGTCACATCCAGGAAGGCAAGGGGCGGGACATGGCCTTGCAGGGTGGGCCTGGACAGGCCTGGGTCCCTTCTGGTGCCCACCGGCCCATGCTCCACCTCCCTGTCATCCGGCACCTTGCCTGACCTTGGAATCCAGAAATCATGTTGTAGCTGGATGACCTTCCTGGCCTCATCCCTGACCTGTGCACCTGGTCTGGGAAGGACTGACCCTCATCCCTGGGTTGACCTTGCACTTCCCCTCATGCCCCTCCACCCTCCAGGACAGCAGGCAGGCTCACCAGACAGCAGCCACTGCAGCCTCTGGACATAGCGCCTCATCACCTTCTCCAGACATGTGATGTATGCTTCCATTTCCCTGGGTGTCCACTGGATATGTCTCACTACCCCCTGGATTAAGACAAGCCAAGGCAAACTTTGCCCCATCAGCTTTCTTCATATCCCCATCATCTCCTTAAATAGTTTAGTTGGTTGTGGTTAATAATTTCCAAAAACCTCTATTAGGCATATATATATTTTCTTAAAGGCTTTTTCTTTGACCAAACTACTAGATTTATGGTTCTAGAAGGAGTAGGGGAATTGGGATGATGGTTTTGTGGCACAGTGGTCACTGAAATAATAAAAAACATAGCATCTGTAAATTTTAAATTAGAAAACACTTCATGGTAGGATGGGAAGTCCATAAATGTCAAACTAAAAGATGACCTTAGATGGAGAAGGGGACGGCATGATAAAACCCCCATAAAATCCTTCTGGTGAATAATTTTGCATTTGGTGGCTACTTTTGGCTTTCTAGTTTCCCCTAACATCAATAACGTCACATAAAATGGCAAGGATAGAAAATGGGGTCTTCCAAAAACAAAAACAAAAACAGCATGATTCATTTTTCATTTGTACTAAATTTACTTGTTCCAGTGTTTTAGCAATGAAAAAATTATCCCCAAACTAGAAACTAGAAAACACTCTCACCTCCCCCAGGGGAGGAGGAAACCCCCTGATGCTCCCCATCTTAACAGAATCATCAGCAATATTGGGGTACAGAGTTCTGCTGAGTTCTTCAGCCAGTACCCTATTCTCAGCGACTATTTTGTGTGTGTGTGGTTTTTTAAAATTTTTATTTTAGAGACAGAGAGGGAAAGAGCAGGGGGAAGGAGTAGAGGGAGAAGGAGAGAGAGAAAATCTTAAGCAGGCTCCATGAGGGGCTCGATCCCACGACTCTGGGATCATGACCTGAGCTGACCTGGGATCGTGACCAGAGTCAAAATCAAGAGTCAACCGATCGAGCCATCCAGGTGCCCCCCTCAGCAACTATTTCTAATTCTCACTCCATGGAGCCCTTCTAGCTCTGGAAGATGGTGTCAGGCACCCTAAGGAGTTGACTTATCTTCCAACAGTATCTGCATCCCTATGTGCCAAGAACAGTCCCAGTTTTGGATAGAAGCAGGAAGAGAAGCCATGTACATTCACATGGAGTTCTCACCAACACATTGTGCCATTTGAAGCTGATCACAGGCAGGAGGTGGGAGAAAGGAAACAATAGCAACAAAAACCATGACTTACATTGATCTCTATACTGGGCAGGATGTTGCAGTATTTGGCTGACGGCAGCCCCCGGGCTGACTTCTGATGAGTGCAGCTGGGACCAATGTATCTGGAGATTTCCATCCTCAGTTTTTTGAGCCCATAATTTGCTACCCACTTTAGAATAAAAGAAAGAACTATTATCTTGGGTAATGTAGGCTTAATTGAATGATGGTCTGACTCATCTATTAAAATGTTGTATTTGAAATCTGTCTCGTGTTTGCAGTGTGGGGTTTCTAGGTCTTCATGGAGCACCCAGGGCATGTAGATTCCTTCCCCTGCACTGGGGAGAGATGCACAAGAAATACCGGCAACAGGGAACCTGCTACTTTCTAGTCTGGTGGACGCTGTTGCTTTTCCAATAGCCATTTCAACTCTCTCCCACAAAATTTGAGTGGAAAGCCATGACTAGTCTGAAGTTCAGACTCTAAACCAATTAGGGTGATCTCTGTCTCCTTGTCACGGTGAGAGATACAAGAACGGGCAGGCTCGTGGCAATCAAGCATGGCTCCAGGATCGAGTCAGGCTCCAGTCAGAACCAAGCTCAGACTCTTACTGAATGGTTGTGGAAAGAGACTCTCATTGAATGTTTGTATCTTCAGGATATGAACAAGAAGGGGGATTTGTCCTGCCTGCAGCCAGAAGGTTCTGACACCACTAAGTGCTTTACCCAAAATATACTTCAATTAGTCATCAATCCTAGCAGATATACAACTGGATTCATTTTACAAACGGGGACACTGAGATTGGGTGTAGCTAAATGACTTGCCCAAGGTCACCCAGCTAGGAAGCAGCAGACCCAGGTTTCCAACACAGGTCTATTTAAACTCTTTTCCCATCTGCCATACTAAGCAGCCATTGTGAGCACATGCGTCTCCACGTCCAAGTATGTCCACCTACCTACGAGTGGAAGGTTGGCGGAAGGGATTATTGCTTGAGGGGTGTGTGCAGGTTCCAAGAACTTAATACCTCTTGGCTTGAGCAAACTGCATCCTTCCTGGGCAACTGGATAGAAGAGCTAACCCTTCGTATTCCCCTTCCTTGAGGGTATTTCTTGTAGACCGAGCCTAGGAGAAACAGAGTGAGGTTACCTCGTGCACCTCTCTTCCCTCTCCCCTCCACTCCCCTCTTTGGCTTCCTTTTGCATTTAATTTCTCTGTCAATCAAATCAGCTGGAAAATTCCTTAGGCCAATCTGCTGAAGGGTAGAGGGAGGCTGTTAGGTGGATCAGGGGAAGCGTTGGGACCTCGCCTCTCTACACATCAGTGAATCATTACTGGGGGACTTGTACCATTTTGCAGCAATCAATTGTAGGGGGGAGCGGGTAGGGACCCGAGGACACTCATCTCCACTCCCTTCCCAATTTCCCAATCAGCCTCAGAGCTGAGGACACTGCCTCTGATGGAGGATGAGCGGTGTCAAGAACTCACACGCCCATTTCCCTGGACTGGGAGACCTGAGTGGTTTGAGGATACGCCTGCTCAGGAGACACTGCTGCCCGCGTCCTGGGACAGCTGGAGGGGTCTCCCTACCCATGGGCCTGCTGACCTTACAGTTCTTACAGGGCCATCCAGATATCTGTGTAACCTCCTGCTTACCCACGTTATTCCCCGTCTCCGTATAAAACAGTGAGAGAGACGTCTCTGCTTCCCTCCACTTGGTCTTCCTCCTCCATTCTGCTGTCCCTTCTTTCACTGGCTGGGCTGAAGCTGGAGGAAAATTGGCCTGTTGGCTGGAGCAGCCTCGTGGGGTCATGCAGTGACGCTGTCCAGCTTGTCGGGAAGACTTGTCAATTTCAGCTATGCTCTGCCCTTGAAATAGGCCTCCAAGATGGCCTTGAGGTCCTCAGGGACTACCCCCAAGTCTTCTGGCCTCACCTGCATCGGCAACAGCTAAAGCTGCCATTTACCAAGTACCGATGTGTGCCAGGCGTGGCGCTAAGTGCTCTCCATAACCCATATCAGCTTATCCTCAACGTGCCCCAGTTTATAGTCAAGGTGAGTGGGGCCCAGGATCCGTAAGGGCACAGCAAAGATTCTACCCAGGTCTTGCTGACTCCACAACTCTGCTCTGAACCATTCTGCTATGTCTTTGACACTAGAAATAAGATACACGGGGGCGCCTAGGTGGCTCAGTCAGTCAAGCATCCAACTCTTGATCTCGGCTTGCATCTTGATCTCACCGATCGTGAGTTCGAGCCCCACATCAGGCTCTGTGCTGGCGGCACAGAGCCTGCTTGGGATTCTCTCTCCCTCTCTTTCTGCTCCTACCCCTCCCTCCCTCCCTCCCTCCCTATAAACTTAAAAAAAATTAGTAAGATACATGGTCTTGCTTCTATGAGCTGAATACTTAAATAAAAATACTGAGGCCCTGTCATGACCAGCTGGCACTGGTCATTATCCTTAGCCAGTCTTGGGCCTAAATTTCTTTATCAGTGAAATGGGGAACTAATAGATTACCTGTCACTCAGGACTGATTATGGTAAGCTTTACTTGGGACAATCTTAGCAGAAGGGTGAGCACATGATAAAGACTCATGATCATCAGTCATTTTGGTTACCATTATAATTAATACATGTCTTGGCCATGCCCTCCACCCCACTACCCACCAGCCTGAGCACGGTCACGCTTACCTGGTGGGACGCCTGCTTTGCCACTAAGTGGCCGCCATGTCAGAGCTTCCAAGGGGGAGCTCTTCTTTCTGTCACGGTCATCTTTAAGGCTCTAGAAAACAGGCCGTCTTTCCTATCAGTGGCCTGTTCTCTGTAGCAGGCCCAGACCATGTGTAGCTTACTCCCATCCCAGGGGCTGTGTTTCTGGAAGGTTCTGCCCACATGGGCACTGCCCTCATTCAAAGAACTCCACCAGGTTCCAGGAGCCAGCCTAGAGGCATCGCCTTCCCCTGCCTTCCCAAATTCTGGGATGAAACCCCAGTCTTAGCCTGTCTGTTAGGAAGCCATGCAGGGAGGGGCCTATGGGAGTTGATTCCTCTGACATGTTTGCCCCATCTCCTGCAGCAGATTCAGAGGCGACTGGGTTTTGAGGTGAAAAATTGTGTGTGTGCGTGTGTGTGTGTTTAATAACAGGGAGGGAGGGCATGCTAGCCTACCCGTGGGATTTGCCAGAACTTGCTTCAGTTACCGCCCTTCTTCCTAGGACTGGGATTTTTGGGCCTCTAGCATGACAAGCAACCATTTGGGTAACTTCTGTGCCTTCTTGGGCATCTCAGTTTTAAGGGAGGAGTCCTTCATTACTGGGCACAAGTGCAATGTGGCAATGGCTGAACAGAGTTACCCAGGGCCTTGGACCAACCAGCTCACACCACTGGGTGAGCTGCTGTGAAAAAGACCTGGCTGCTGCTACCTGGCCCTCATTCCAGGAGCCTCTTTGGAGGCCTTGGCACAGCCCAAGCCTCTTCACTCTGAATCGGCTCGGAAAGCACCGAAGGCCCAAGACACAGCCCCTGAGACTCCAGGATTTCGTCCCAGAATTTGCATCTGGGCTGGTTCCTGGAATCTGCTTGAATTCTTTGAATGAGGGCAGAACCTGTGTGGACAGAACCTCCTGGAAGTGTAGCCCCCGGGCTGAGAGTAGGCGACACAAGATCCGGACTGGTCCCCTCATTCTGCAAATGCATTATGTTTGCAAGGATCTGTCCATCAGTGAAACACTGAAGAGCTCCAGGTTATTTGCTGCTTCTGCTCACAAGCACTGTGGAGTCCGGAGTCATTCTGAGGTCCCTTTGATTTCTGCAGTGGGGTAGATATTTTAGGTAGGACAGGTTGGATCGGCTGTGACGGGGATAAGGCCCTAGCAGGCACAGGTCTACCCTCAGGGTCCTATCAGGCCCCTGCTAAGCCTTGGGCAGCAGTGGCTCCCATGGCAGCAGGAGCCCATTAGATACCCTTTGCCCAAACAGACCCTCCAGGATAAGCCCTCCTGCCTTACAGCCATCAGATGTAGCAGTGGGCGCCAATTCCATGGAGTCCTTAGTACCCGGCACAGGAATCAAGCTGAGATAGCCAGGCAGAGCCAAAGGTGGGTGGAGAGGAGGCCAGAGATGCCCCCAGAGCTGAGAAGCAGATCCCCCAGAAGAGGGGGAGCTGGAGGTACCCCCGAGACATTGACCACTGAGCACCCTGCCCCCACCCTGCTGGCCCTGGGGTCTGGGAGAGTGGCCTAGGTCATTTTAAGATCTAGGAAAGACCAGGAGACAAGGTGGCAACAAAATCCACGCTGTGTTATTAGGGAGGGGAGTCAAACCATTCTGGCCACCGAGGGAGCTGTGGGCTTGGAAGAATAGAGTTTCCTGGGCTGACTTCTTTGCTTGAACATCTTTGGTTTTTCTTTCAGGAGGGCTGAGCTTTCCACTTCTTTCCCAGACTGGTTCTTCAGTGAGGACACCAGTAAGGCACACTGCAATGGGGACTGGGCAGGTTAGCAGCACCCCAGCCACGGTGTGCCTCCAAGCAGGGGGCAGACAGACAGAGCGCACATGCACAAAACACACACACACACACACACACACACACACACACACAGCAGGAGAGATCAATCCATTAAACCTCTGGGCTCCTGCATTTTAAATATAAACACTGTGGATCAAAACTATTAATTGTAAGTCCCATACGTATGAAGGTGCTGGGATCCCCAATGGGCTGGGGTTAATTTCTGGGGTCCCAAACCCTCGTGCCAAGAAAGCATGCCAACTATGCTTTTAGGGCAAGTGCTATTAAAAAAAAAAATTTAATGTTTGTTTATTTTCAGAGAGAGGTGGGGACGGAAGGAGAGGCAGACACAGAATCTGAAGCAGGCTCCAGGCTCTCGTCAAGGAGCTCAATGAGGGGCTTGAACTCACGAACCACAAGATCATGACCTGAGCCGATATCAAGAGTTGGACACTTAACTGACTGAGCCACCCAGTTGCCCCCCTTCCTTGCCATTTTTAACAAGTATCCAGCAATTTTTAATTTAATTTTTATTTATTAAAAATTTTTTTTTATTAAAAAAATTTTTAACGCTTATTCAATTTTTGAGGACAGAGAAGACAGAGCAAAGCAGAGGAGGCAGAGAGGAAAGAGACACAGGATCTAAAGCAAGCTCCAGGCTCTGAGCTATCAGCATAGAGTCTCGCATGGGGCTGAAACTTACGAACTGTGAGATCCACCTGAGCCCAAGTCGGACGCTTAACCTACTGAGCCAGCCAGTGCACCCCAGTAATTTAAACACCAAACCAGTACTGGCAGCTAGCGCTACAGAGGGATTCCTACTCAGAGACCTCAGAAGGAGTATGGCCCTTCTACCACCTTAATCGCAGAACTTCTACCCTGAAACGGTGAGAGAATAAATGTCTATTGCTTTAGTTTCTAATTTGTGGTACTTTATATGGCAGCCCCAGGGCACAAATAGAGAAGGGCAGTCGTTTGCCCACACGTAAAGCATACCTTTTGGGAGTAGTTGAGAGCCTTTTCCATCTCAGACACGATGGCATTGATGTCATCGCCATAAATAATACCTGAAGTCAAGGCACATCATGGGAGGGAGGGTGGGATCATGGAGAGCATCCGTATCTCTTTACATGAGGGCTGTGTGGAGGTGACCTGAGCCCAAGGGGCAGGAAGGGGTCCTGATGGCCAGCTGACTAGGTTCCCCACCCCCCACCCCCACAGCCCCACCCAGTGTTGAAGGGGATGGGCAGGTACATTGAAGTTACCAGTAGTGGGGCCGGCCCCGGGACCCAGTGGCTTGCACCCAGCTGACTGCCTTCACCCAGAGGAAGGACAGGCTAGGAGTGATGGTCCCGCTATTCCATTGAATAAGAAGACCCACCTTAGGATTAAACTATCTAGTGTCTGTAGTGAATATTGGTGACTTATTTGAGAGGGACTGGAATGTAATGACTAAGAAGACAGACTCTGAAGTTGGCCTGCCTGGGTTCAAGTCCTGGTTCCACCACTTACTAACCACATGCTTTTGGATTCTGTCTCAGCTTTCCCATCTGTAAAATGGGGATAACCTACTTCAGAGGATCATTGTGAGGAATCAATACTAATACATGCAAAATGCTTGGAACTGTGTCTGGCATATGATAACCATTCTAGAAGTGTGTCCTGTTATTAGCAATCATCACCGACAATAACTTCTATGTATATGCCCAATGCTTTTCATGGAAAGAGCTGGGAAACAGGGCCCCAGGGTTCCAGCCCCAGCTATGCCACTGATTTTGTACCACAGGTAACTCATGTCCTTGGGAGTCATTTCTTTGTTTCTAAATCAGAGAGGGTGGAATGTACTAGTGGGTCCTGAGCCTCAATCACTCCTGTGTCCCAGTCATGATTTTGCCTTATCTCCATACCACCTAATCCATTATCTGTATTATCGCTTTTGTTACTTAAAAGCATATATATGTATATATGTAATTGAGACATATATTATTGACATAATGTATCATATAATATGACATGATATTAGGTTCATGTGTACAACAAATCATTTTGTTATATACATGAATATTTATATATATTGTGAAATGATCATCATAATGTCTATCTAACATACTTAAAAGTATATTTTAAAAAAGAAAACTTATGGGCATCTGGGTGGTTCAGTCGGTTAAGTGTCCAACTCTTGATTTTGGCTCAGGTCATGGTCTCACATTTCATGAGATCAAGCCCCATGTCAGGCTCTGCATTGACAGCACAAAGCCTGTTTGGGATTCTCTCTCTCTCTTTCTGCCCCTCCCCTGCTTGAGCTCACTGGCTCACTCTCTCTTTC